CCGGGCGACGATGAGTGGTTGATCTTGAATGTACAGGTAGGCTCGCCGTATCGCGTCATGTACGACACCCACAATTGGGAACTGATTATCAAGGCGCTGCACAGTCGAGCATTTAAGCGGATTCATGTGATGAATCGCGCCCAGCTGCTAGATGATGCACTGGCCCTTGCCTGGTGTGGTCTAATGCATTATGAACTAGCCCTCGAGCTTTTGGACTATGTGCGGCACGAGCGCGAATATATGCCCTGGCGGGCAGCATTGGATCAGCTGGATGGCATCTATCGCATCGTGCGACACACCAGCCAATACGACGAGTTTCAGGTGGGATCATTGTTTGAATCTAAACTTAACTCCAACTAAGTCAATCAACAACAGCATTTTATGCACCATCTACTGGGACCCATATATTGCCGTCTGGAGGGCATGCAGGAGGATTGCGACAATCGACATCATGCCGCACACAAGACCTTGATTAATAAGTGGGCGTGTCGGCTATCGCTAGAGGATTGCGTGGAGCATGCCTTAAGGTATTATCATCGCTGGTTCATCTCCCGTGCGCCGGACGAAACAAATCCGGTGCCGGCCAATCTACGCTCGGTGGTTTACTGCACCGCCATGCGGCATGGCGATGCGGAGGATTGGAACTTTCTGTGGCAGCGATATCGCAGCACCACAGTGGCCAGTGAGCAGCGTCTGATACTCCTCGCTCTGGGCTGTACACACAAGGTATGCCTGCTGCAACGCTATCTGAGCATTATCTACCACGAGAAGTCCTTTATACGAAAACAGGATGCTTCGCAAATCTTTGGCGCCATTTTACGCAACGATGTGGGCTTCCACATAGCCAGGGATTTCTATTTTCATAATTTCCAGATGCTGCGAGACTAGTAAGTGTTTGGCCTTTGTTGAAATCCACAACATTAAGCTGCCAATTAGGAGCGGGGTTCGAACCTTCAACTTTTAAATATCATTTTATCATCCCCTTTTCGACCATGCAAGAACTTTAAACCGACTATCTACCACCTAGTATATATATAAGCTTATTTTAAATCCCTTGCGGAGAGTATTTTAATTTTATCGTGAAATGTGTAACGTATGGAAGTAGACATATTCGACCGCATAAAGTATATATATTCTTGATCAGTATCAACAGCCGAGTCGATACAGCCATGTCCGTCTGATTTAAAGCTATCGTCATAAAACTCTGCAGAAGTCGGAAACAGCTGGATCACTATAGCCATTAGTTTTACTATGCTCCTCATATATAGGTAAAATCCTGAAAAGATGGGACCACCATATCATATAGCTGCCATAGGCATGATCGGTCGAAAAGCAGGTTCTTATAAGAAAAACTTTTTTGTTTTACAAGATATATTGACCAAACTTGCCATTTATAAGTTTCACTATGTACTCTACATTTATGCATAATCTTATTTACCTCGGATCACTGTATCATAAAGCTGCCATAGGAACGATCCATCGGTTATGGTTTTCAAGATATCTTAACCATACTCGGCATTATATATTTTCCTTGCGTTTCTTAGATAGAGCCTGCAGGTTTATTATATCTTCGGCGTGCCGATGAAAGCCCTTCTTTCTCGCTAACATTGGCTTCAAGTCAGCCTTACTTTGAGGGTACAACTTGCTAATCCTGCTCTTTCCACTTTAAAGCTATCATTCCAACACACGCGAGTTGGTTGGACTGCTGCAACAGATTACCCAGCACAGCAGCAGCACACGGGACTATCGCCAGCTGCGGATGTTCATTCATGGCCACCAGGAACTGCTGCAGAGCTCGTCGCGAAGTTTGCGCCGCGCCCTGGAGCAGGCGCAAGCAAATCTACGCTGGCGCCAGGAGCAGCTCTGCGAGTTCACCAACCAGCTCTCAATGCGCAATTGTGACTGAATTTTCACGAACTTTCTTTTTATTTTTTGTTTTTAATTTTTTTTATAATTTAATTTTTCGTATATTTCATTAGTATTAAAAAGAAGGAACATTGAATGCCCCAAGCTAAGCGCTAATATTAATCACAGTACACAAGACCAGTTCCATTGCCAGAAATTGCAATTTAATTTGCCGAGGAAGCACCACCAGCACCAACATTCCCACCACCGCCACCGCCAGCTGCACCACCGGAGAAGGCGGTGCTGGCATTGCCCGCACTGGCCGCAAACAATTTTCTCAAATTCTGGAGCATGCCCCAGAGTACGGTGCCCGCCGTGCCCAGCGTTTCGAGGAAATCGAAGCCCGTGCTATCGATGGCCTCTTCGCGATCCTCCTCGGTCTCAATCGCTGGCGAAGAATTGTTGCTATGCACCGCATGATGCACCCCACTGTGCCCAATCAAACGGTGCGAATTGGTGCGCACATGCGTGTCATTGACCCCGCCGCCGCCGACGGCATTTACCAGATGCTTGACCGGCTCCAACACCGGTATAGCCAGCTTGATGCGATGCCAGGCATCCGGCTGCTCTGTGGAGCTCTCGTGCTGTTCACCGATCCCCTCATCCAGGCTGAGCTCATCGTCCAGCGTATTGCGCTCGCTGACTGGCGCATCATCCGTGTCCAGGCTATTATTGCCGGGTCCTTGCAACTGCAACAGGCTGCCAAAGAGCTGTTGCACATGCACCGAGTTAATGGACTCTGCCTCGTTGCGCTCAAAATCAAATTCCTTGCGTGCCCCAGCGCTACGCTTGCTATTCAGAAAGCTCACAATATGCGTACTCCCATCACTGCTAGACGTTGCAGCGAGCGGGGGCAACCTGCTGCTGCTGCTGGCCGTTGGTTTCGCCGTCGCCGTCGCCGTCAGGAGCCATACGAACTGCATGGAAATGATTAAAAATTATTATTATTTGAGCATATTTTGGTTAAACAAATTATAATAAGCCATTCCATATGCCAGACCAAACGCATTCGAGAACACGCGACGCGCCTTAATGAGATGGCTTCTAGCCGCTTGGAGACATTGAAATGATTCTATTATGCCGCACAGAAGACAATCAAGGTCTTTAAAAGTGATAGCGAACGCGTTCCGAATTGGGCTAAGTATGAAAAATATTTGGTAGACGTAAATCTTGACTAAAAAGGCAGTTGAAAAAAAAATAAAGACGAAATACCTACATATAGATACCCTTTCCTTCATAGGCTAGCTTTATTGTCGAACTATTGCTTTTTCGAGAGCTTTATAATATAGTAGTCATATATAATATGGATTTGAAGATAGCTTAGTAGAATTGTGCTTAGGTATCTGGTAAGCCAGACAAGAATTTTCGAGCTGAATTTTTATACATATAAATAATATAATATAATATTTCGAATGTAAGGCGATGGTAAATGCCAAATTTTTGTCAAGATATCTTTCTAATAAATAATTTCGATTCGTCTGATTCCGATATTATACTGTATGCAATACAAGGGGAGTCCTTGGCAACACATTTATCTATGGAGACAGAGATGTCTCCTATGCATCCCTAAATTCATTAGAAGATTATACTCCCATAAAGTTATTAATAACACTTAATTGTCACAAATTATGAAATATCTAGATATATATTCTTAAATAATAAAATCAACTATATAATGCCATATCTGTCTGTTTCTATACAGTCCAGTTCTTCACACTTAAGCAAATTTAAATGTAGCTTGGCTAATATGCCATTTCCTTTTGTAGCTTCCACATATCTGACTAATATCACTATGTGTGGAAGATTTGTTGATTATATGGAATCGGTACCGGAATGTTCTTTTTTGTTGTAAGCCAAGAAACAGATTCAAAGCTATTGCATCAAGTGCATATCTTTAGGTTATAAAATATATGTAAATTAAAAATAGCACAACCAAAAGTATATTTCAGGGTCTATTCAGCAAAGAAAAAACACGTAAATATTTTATATTTGGTGAGCTGAATGTCAAGACAGTCTTTGGCAAGGCTTTTTGCCGATGACGACGAATAAAACCCCCAAATATATATTAAATGGCATATATATATAAATATATATAAATACATATATGTAATATATATTTGGGGGTTTTAAATGGAATTTTTTATTTTACAAATTGCAACTATAATATTTAACGACGCGCGCTTACATGCAGAAAAATCAGCAGATATATGGTACTATGAGTAGAACTAGACAATCGCGACATTGTCAATGTTATATAAATCTATAACTATATAAATATAGATCGGATTGAAATTGAAAACGCCAGCGAAGCGCTTACAACGACAACTGAGCACTGACTGATTGCCGGAGTGGCCAATGAGCAGCCCAAAAAAAAAAAAAAAAAACTAAAAAATTGATCTGAAGGTAGCCAATAAACAAATAATTAATATGCAAGAAGTGTGCCAACAATAGCCGTACCTAAAATTTATTTAATATGTTTTAGAGAGCTGCATGGCTAATGCCATCCAATTCGAGAACAATGTCGAGTGCTCTCAGTCGATTGTTTGTAAAAATCTTATTGGAAATGTTTGTTGGGCCCCGAGCCCATTGAATATGAGTGTAAAGGGTATTATGTTTTTTGGGGATTTGGGGACATCGATTTTTAAGCAAACTCCCAAAAAGGGCCTCTTTAAAAAGTAGTGCTATTACGACCTGGCAAATATGCATATTTCAGTCCCTAAAATATCACTGAAATCAGACAAGATATGCTTAGCTTATAGCGAGGCTTAGCTTATAGCGTGGGACTGAGGCGATTCCTGCCTCACGTGTTCGTTTAGAAGGTAGCTAGGGTATTTGTAATGGCAGGTTGGCGCTGTGTTCGGGAGTGCCTGAACTTAAACATTATTCCAGGTTTTCGATTCAGTTTCTTAGCCTACACATCGTAGTGGGCGTACACAGTTAGTTATCACAGTAAGTGTTGAATATTTAGTTTAGTCTTCACACACATCTCTTTGAGAACACACTTCAAAATATTTTTTTTTAAAAAAAAAATATATGTATAAACTGAACTTTTTCGAAATTCTAAATTTTGGTGTAATGTTCTAATAAAAAGATATACTTTTTTCTATCAATTAATTTTCAAGAGTTTTGGTTAATGTTTAATTATATTTGCAGTCAATCGGTTTGCAGTTTTACTTTCGCCCGTTAAATAATTTTCTATTTCAAGATATTGGATATAAATATGCGTCTTTTTGGGAAAGTAACGCATTTTCTACACGTGAGTAATTGAACAAAAAAATACCCCTGAAACAGGGTACAATTAGGTGCTGCAGTAAGCCAATAGGAGGTTATGGCAAGGCTTTGTTTTACCGCAGACAAATATTGTTTAAAAATCAAAATAGCTTGTTAAGGTCACATAATTATGGCCTTGAACACTGGTTCAACTCAATGCAGAATTATCGTTGTCATATAGAGAAAGTAAAAATAATGAATAAGGAAATCTGAATAGTTTGAACAACCAATAGATCGCGTAAGTTAGGTAAGAAAGAGGTTGAGGATCCCTCAACACTCCCCCAAGATGCTCGAATTATACAATAGTATGTAGTTAGAACACTTTGGGGGCAAGTAAAATATTACTAAATTAATTAAAATCGACTTCACAGGTTCAGTTTAGGCAAAAATTAGTTATTAAAATACATACTATATATAACTTAGATTAGAAAAAATCTTGGCAGGATTTATAAGAAAATAAGCTCTGGTTTCTGTCCGAGTAGGCGTTGAGAAATCAGTTGGAAGGCATTTGGACTTGCCTGTGTGGAATAGGAAACTATTTCAGTCAGCTTCTATGCGCCAACCAATTAACATTGCCTTTTTTTTTTTATTTGTGGCATAATTTTGTATATATCTTCAAAATTTAAAGTAACTCTATTTTGTTCCCAACTCTAAATTTAAAGTGAACGCCCATCAAATTTAATTTAAACCAAATTCAAAATTCAAAATTTAAAAATAAAAGGTGTTAAATTGCAATCGCATGGCGACATATCTTTCACAGATCTCCCGGTGTCTGAGCTATCACGCGCCAATCTGTAGACCCCATCGCCTGCTCCATGGCAGCTGCAAGCAATGGAAGAAAATCTGCTCGAACTGCGTCTGTTGGCAACCGCCGCAGTTGGTGGAATTCCTGCCATCTGTGCCAACAATGATACACGTCCAGTTATATTCCCAACGTTCGCCGGGCGTCTTCAGTCCGAACACCAATGTTGATATGCTGCGCAAAAGGATCAGCTTTAGCGGAACGCCAAACGAGGCCTCCGACGGGGCACCAAATGTTGTGCCCGTTGGCATTATCATACCCGAGGCCAAAGATGGCAAGCAACTGAAGATTGTGATTGTGCCATTGGACTTGGCCAATCAGGATATCGAGAGCTTGAGGAACACGCTGGAGGCGCTTAATCAGCTGCGCATGCACGCCAATGAGATCGACGCCTTCACCAACAGCATGATCGAAGACTTTAACCAGGAAAGCAAAGGAGAGACTCCTGCAATCGAAGAGCAGCCAGTCAGCAAGGAGAAATTGAACTTCTTCGAGGGGTATGTGAAGGGCATCGATGCTGTAGGCACTTCGACCGCCAGTAAAAATGCGACGGAGCAGCAAGACTTGCAAGCGGCTACTGCGGCTCTGGGCAACGCGGCTACCGATGTGGAGGTAACGCCAATAGCACCTAGCGTGCCATTCACTCCGAGCACACCGAATGCACCAAGCACAACGCCCAGCACCTCGCCCGGCACAATGCCACAACCGATGCCAAATGTTATACCCTTGGGTGATCCAAAAGAAACGCAGATCTGCGCCAGCGCACAGCCCGAGGTGGATGAAACGCTCGCCAGCAGCGAACCCCATGTGGATCAAATCAGCATTGAGGTGCCAGACAGCCTGGGCCAGCGTCTCAACGATATGGCCATTGCATCCATGCATTTGTCCTTTGAAATGGACATGTCCAACGTGCGGGATGCCATAATGAATGGCGACGCGCCCGAGAAAGCCGAACCCACATTGGGCAACGATGCGATGGTCTTCCTAGAAACCAAAGTGGAAGCAGATCCCGAAAACGCGCCACTGAATACGGTGCCACTGCGCTTCAATGCCCTGATCAAGGGCACAGTTCAAATCGATGCCGACAAGCTTAATCCAGATCAACTGACCGAAGCAATGTTGCCAGAATACAATGATGCAGTCACCTCCATTGCCGCCAGCGTATGCAGCACGGCGCTACAGAGTGGATTTTCATCCGACAACGCTGCCGAACAGCAGGCATCGACTGCAGAGTCGATGCCGATTCTCAAGGCAAAGTCTGCGGCAAATGCTCGCATGGCAATGAAACGCAATCAGGCGATGAAGCGCATGAAGCAGCAGCATAGCCGTCCCAGAATGAGTACAATGCCTGTGCCGGAAATTCAGAGCCCATACTTAAAGGATGGATGCAAATATCCCGTCATTAAGCCAAAAAAGAAGTGCCCCAAGAAGTGCCCGCTACTCGATGATCCCTGCAAGGAAGATCCATGCAAGCGTCCACAGGAACCGAAAAAGAAGACGCAAAAGAAGAAAGCGCTTCGGACCGTCGAAATAACGGCCAAAAGTTCCGGTGACAAAAAAGGTAACGGTGCCAATAAATGTGCTAGTGACAAGAAAGATCCCTGTGCTAAGAACGGTGCCGGCGGCAAAGGTGAAAAGGGTGGTGACAAAAAGGACCCTTGCTCAAAATTCAAGAAGGGAGGTGACAAAAAGGATCAATGCGCCAAAAAGGACGATAAAAAGGATAAATGTGCTCAGAAAGAAGACCCGTGCAAAAAGAAGGATCCATGCGCTAAAAAAGACGATCAAAAGGATAAATGTGCTAAGGACGATAAAAAGGATAAATGTGCTCAGAAAGAGGACCCATGCAAAAAGAAGGATCCATGCGCTAAGAAAGACGACAAAAAGGATAAATGTGCTAAAAAAGAGGACCCATGCAAAAAGAAGGATCCATGCGCTAAGAAAGACGACAAAAAGGATAAGTGCGCCAAAAAAGACGATAAAAAGGATAAGTGCGCCAAAAAAGACGATAAAAAGGATAAGTGTGCCAAAAAAGACGATAAAAAGGATAAGTGCGCTAAAAAAGACGATAAAAAGGATGATCCATGCAAAAAGAAGGATCCTTGTGATAAAAAGGGAGGCAAAGGCGACAAGAAGAAAGACCCTTGCGCCAAGTTCAAGAAGGGCGATAAAAAGAAAGTCTCTTGCGCAAGCAAAGACAAAAAGGATAAATGTCCTAAAGAGGATCCTTGCAAAAAGAAATATTCCACATTTAGTAGCCCCGTCTCAAAATTTTATCATTCCAACAGCTCACACATGCCCTTCATCCGTAACCACAACCGTTTCATGTCAACAGCCATATTTAACCATAGTCCCCAAGTGTTCTCAGAGAAAAGTAGTTCAAATTTAATGCATAATCTGAGGGCCTTTACCACGGTGTGTCACTACAGTGCTCGATCAGCTGAGCAAAAAAGCTCGCCCGCGAAATTCTTGGTTTACTCAACTCTTGTGCGCCGGCATTACGGCGGCATGCCCACCGTCACACAGATGGGCGCCTGGGGCATCAAATCGCAGAATGTGCGTCAACTAATCCAGCGTGGCTATAGTAAGAAGTCCAAGAAGAGTAAGGAGTTAAAGGCTGGCGATGCCAAATGTGCAGCTCTGGCCGACAAACCCAGCATAAAGAAACGCAAGCACGTTAAGGCGCGTACGGGTCTGCGTACAGATTGCTATGACAAGTATGATAATGAATGTCCAAAGGTATTCTGTACTGGCAAATGTGATGAAGTTAAGTTTCCACGCAAGAAATGCGACAAATCGGAAAAGAAGCCAAGAACCGTGGTGCCCAAGAAACCAAAGAAGCAGCTGCCCCCCATATGCATGGTAAATAAAGAGAAGGACAAAAAGGATAAAGGTGCGTGTATTAACTCAACGTATTAGACTATGCCACACAACTAACTATGTCCATTACTTGTAGATAGAAAGAAATAAGCTCCTTTCCACGGGCTCATTCACTCTTAACCAAATGCGCATGCACAGCGATTCAGCGCACAGCAAAAGGGGCTACAACTCGCAGATCAATAAGGCAGCATTGAAAGAGTGTCCCGATGAGGAATTGCCAGACTCTGTGATTGAGGTCATACGCATACCCGCTTCGTATCAAATATGTAAAGAGCACCTGCCGCGACCAGAGCTAAAACCATTCGGTAAGACTCGTGTGGAATACATACTGTAGATTCTAATCTGGCTCCAATTAGATGTCCTTATTAGCACTGGCTCAATAGCACTCACTGGATCGGATATACATGTATATGAGAATGCAAATCGGGATCTGGAGGGCATGACCTTGGGTCACGATGCCACCGGCTTTGTGGAGCAGGTTGGTAGCTGTGTTCAACATTTACATGTGGGTGATCGTGTCGTCATGGAATCGGCGCTGTCCTGTGGCGTTTGTGATTATTGCAAACGGGGCTTGTATAACATCTGCGCCGATCTGGTATACAACGGTTTCTTGGCTACCCATCAGTCGCATCCGGCTGACCTATGTCATAGACTGCCCGATAATATTAGCATGGAAGAAGGCACACTCACCCAAACGCTGGCAATGGGCTGTCAGGCATGCTTCAAGGCCAACATCTCGCCCACAAGCAATGTATTGATTATTGGCTCCACCCCCACAGCAGTTGCGGCGGCGATGTGTGCATCAGCAATTGGCGCCCGAAAAGTGACTATTGCTGGAACCATGAGCTCCTCACTGGAAATGATAAGAAAGGAATTTGGTTTCAATATAATACACTTTGATACGAATGCACTTTTCGGTGAGGTGCTCGAAGCGGTGTACAGCAAATTCCAGGAATGGCCCAATTGTGCCATCAACTGCGCCATCACGCCAATGACCATGAATTTGACCGTGATGGCATTGCAGCCATGTGGTGTCTGTGTACTAGCCGAATGCGAATCCGAATGTGCCAGTTTCAATGCCCTCGACATACTCATGAAGAACATACGCCTAATACCGAGCTTTCGTTCCGCCAATATGTAAGTGAAATACAAATCTTTCTTGGGATTTAATTAATACCCACCATTTGTAGGTATCCAACGGCCTTGCAACTTATGAAATCTGGTCGCGCACCAATGCATAAATTCATTGCCAAAACGTTTTCATGGAGCATGATAGAGGATGCATTTAAAAGTGCGCAGCATGAATCAAACGTTGGCTTGCGAAAAATTATCGTTAATAATATAGAAGAAACAAACATCGGGGGACTGTTCAAAAAAAACTAAAATCAATTTCAAAGACCAATTGATCGATAATAAAAATTTTTTGTTCTCTTAAGGTAATGCTGTACATAGAAAAGACCAAATGGCGGTGTAATAAAAAAAAATTTGATACAATTTTTACTCTCTTAAATCCATACTTGCCTAACCGCCAGCATCTCCTTAGGAATGTTAGGCGGAGTTCGATGGTATGCTTCGGGCACTCTCAAATTGAGCAGATGTGTATAATTGCGTGAGGTTTTTATTTATGCATGTTTTAAAATACACAATATTTAACATTTTGTTTCTCAGCATCTATGAATCTCTCTCATTATAGACTATTTAACGAGCTGTTCGTAAGTTTTATATTTATAAAAATTATTGTACTTCGCTGCTTACAACAAACTATTTTACAAATTTACATACGCAACTAAACTGAGACGTGCATTTTATTTGTATGCTAAAGGAATCAATGTGCACACAACAAATTAACGAAAATTAATCATAATCAAACATAACATAATCGTAAACATAAACAATAGCATAGTGCAGTTCATTTCTGTCACTTTAGCTGCATCGCTTTTGGACATTTGAGTATAAATAAGTCTTTAAGAGCTAACTAATCAATATGCAAAGATATGTATGTAGGTATGTAAGAGTGCCTGTGACTGATTTCCGGACTGCATCTGGTTTCTATGTCTGGTTATACGTAATTCTTGTTCCCTGGGTGGTTTTGACTCTTTTTGTTTTACCACTTTTTGTGTTTGTACCAAAAAGCAGTTGAATTTGGCTAGAACAAAGCGCTTACGCTATAATGTAAGTTATGGTAGCACATATATATAATTATAGTAGAATCGTCAGTTTCAAAAAATAGCTAAGCTTGGCGCTACGGTCAAGCGTTCATTCATGTAGGTAGTTTCTCTTTTGGTGTTTTTTCACAATGCATTCATTCAACTTTTCATAAAACATGGTATTCTTGCTTGCTTTGTTTTTAATGATCGTGAATTTGCATTTCCAACTCGACATCCGAGAGGTTTATTTCGCGCATTGAATTGATATACATGTAGCGCGATGTGTAGATATAGAGCCAACGGAACCATTTCATTTGCGACTGATGCTCAAGCATGGCGCCTCTGATCACAGACGCCTCCTTCCAGCTGAGTATGCACCTGGTATAGGACAAGCTATATTAAATTATCTTTATATTGAAAAAAATGTCATACATACCAATGCGTGGACATAAAGCAGGTGCACAGCAAATCAAAGATCGATAAATATTTGCGTACCAAATTGATCGAGTCTAGCGTATAGAACTTACAAGCTGCAATGTGGCACATAAAAAATGTATACCAAAAATAAGAAAAATTATCATGGCTATAATTAGAAAACGTAACGTTAGCAAAACAACAACAAGAGCAACAATAGCGGCTACAATTAACATGACAATTAACATGTGCAATACGGTCTGTAGACGGTTTTGTTGTGTTTTGGTTGTTGCTGCCGCTGCCAACCCGTGACTCACCCTTAGGCAATAAATTGGCTAAGCACAAAGAAGCGGCAGCATAATACACAGCACAATGATTGGGATGAGAGCTGACCCCATCGCGATCGAAGGTGAATATCGCCTTTATATCAAGACTCTCAACGGTATGCAATATAAAGCTGGCAACCGCATCCGTTCGCCATTCAACATTCGGATCATCTGGCAAATTGGTGGCATTCACTAATATAACATTCGATTCAGCAATGCCCAAACGTTTACATGCCCGAAATAGCTCCTCTCGCCGGAATTGCGCCTGCTGATCATAGTTGCCTAATGATGGAAATGTGGAAATTTAATTGGTTTCGTGAAAGCAGCAGGGGGTGCAGGTATTTCTTACCATTTGACAGGCACAACACGTACACCTGACAGCCATCGCGCTGTGTCAGCGAGTAGATCAACGGACCAAAGAACATGCATTCGTCATCCGGATGTGCGATGACCAAAAGAACGCGACCCATTAACGCCGATTTGGGGAGATGAACGCTACGCAAACGCAGGCCATTTTGCAGGGCATTGCGCAAGCCATTGCTGGCGTTGTCACCGTTGCTGCCATGGTGCTCCTTCCTTTCCTCTGGCACGCCAGTTACGGAAGCCGAAAGCCAAAAGGTTAGCTTGTAGAGGCCCAGGCATACTAGCAAGTATACCGCACATGCAATCAGTAAATGCTCCAGTGCTTCAGCTGATGTGGACTTGATGCGGCAATAGATGGCTTGCGGACCCAGCAGTTCCAGGCGTAGCTCGGTGAATGGGCGTATGACAGCCTCGTGTAAAGCACTAGCGTTTATTAAATTGGCCAAGTATTCGCTTAGCCAGCTAAATTTCATTTCATTGCGTTTGCTGCGCTTGTGTTGATTTTCGTTTGGCAAAATTTTTCACCAAAAATGGACATAAAATAAAATTTAACAAAAGTATGTGTTTCACTTCAGTTGTTGTGCGCTTAAAACCAATTATTTATAATACTAAACTAAAAAAACACCTAAATAATTCAACTTATTGTGTAATTTAATACTTTAAATGGCTTCGTAATCTACGCGGTTGCACTAAAAAAATTGCATTTTATTTTTGCGCTGCGTGTTATTTCATGGGGGGCAACAACTAGGGATGAGCGCGTGAAAAGCCAGAGACCGAATATCGTGTCCATGCGTATATACACGACAGCTAAGCAACTGATTTGAAAAGATTCTTGTAATCACCTGTACGTGTTAAACGAATTCAACTTGGTTCTGGATGCATTAGCAGATCTGTGTGAAAATAGAAAGCGCAAGCGTATATACAGCTGTGTGTCGAGAGTCTGATTGCCATCATCAGCAGCTATCAGCTGTTCAATGCATGCGTAATCGATAGGCGATAGTGCCAATTAGAAAACAAAAACAAGCTATCGATATATCGTTTCATATGCACCTCTAGTGCCGAATTAATGAAGGAGCAGTAAAATTTTTTTGATTCAAAAAATTTGCTAGTTAATAATTTGTACAATAATTTTATTGTGTTTTATATGCCTTTAACTGCTCCCGAATTTCCCACCAGAGTGGTGCGAATGCTACCCAATTCAGCAGACAGCCAAACGCGCCGGGTTTAATTCAAGCGGCATTTGGGAGACACCAAAAAAAAATACAATAAAAAAAAACAAAAAGCGTGCGCGTTGCTTGTGGCCCGCTGTAATTAGGTTAAAAGTGGAAACGGCTGAAAAGCAACGTGTGGTTAGAGTGACAGTCACCTGCAGCAATATTAATCAAAAGCAATGGCACACCAACAGCAGGGCATGGATTCGGCATTGTTCGAGCGACGACTACGACCGGTCTACGGTTAGTCAAATTTATATATACTTATATATATATATTACATCAATATTGATGTTGCTTTTTGTTCAACAATTTGCAGATAATCTGGAAGTAGGGAACAATCGTAAGGCACTACAGGAATCAGAAAAACTGCTACGCAAACATCCAAATTTACTCTGCGCACGTGCTCTCAAGGTAAAACGGTAGCCAAGAAGTATATCAACTGAACGCATTTGAAATCTTTTGATTTTTCTTGATTATGTCTAGGGATTATCATTGCTTCGCCTGGGGCGCTACGAAGAGAGTCATAGCTGCCTGCAAACCGTAGCCGAAGAAAAGCCCGTAGACGATTCCACGTTGCAGGTGCTCTCCTTTTGCTATCGCGAAATGGAACAACGTAAGAGAGACAGACAGACACACACACACACATCTATCTACCATTGGCGACCGTTTCATATTTATAAGTATATTTCTTGGCACGCGCACACGGTCAGGCAATTAAAATTGCCTTCGCACTCGCTTTCATTTGCGCAGAAATTAGCTAAAGCAATGAATGCTGGCGGGACGACAGGCGGACGGGTAAAAAGCGCGTGCCAAGAAATCAAACTGATCTTTATGTACCTGGTGTGCATCTATATATTTTACCCGGTGCCCATGCATTGAGTTAAAGGGTCTAATAATGTACATATGCAAGCAATGGGCGCAAATGTATATGCTAAAGTATATCCTTATGCCCTTGATTTACATAAACGCCAATTTCCAGCTGTTTACATCGTATCTACTATTCGAGTACATGCGACTGCAGCCCTTATTTCTTACATTGTGCAACTAATTGCTGCTCAGTGACAAGTACGATAAATCATTACCTTCTCTGACCTTGCAGTGGACAAGATAGTTGAACTCTATCAGCACGCTGTCAAACTGAATCCGGGCAATGAGGAGCTGCTAGCACATCTATTCGTATCGCATGTGCGCGTCGAGGATTACAAGGCGCAGCAAGCGGTTGCCCTGCAACTGTACAAGGCCCAGCCAAAGAATGCCTATTACTTTTGGTCTGTTATTAGTGTGGTATTTCAAGGCATACGTGGCCCTGAAAGCTGCATTCCCGAGAAGCGTAAGCTTTATCTCGCGCTGGCCCAACGCATGGTTGACAAGCATATAAAGGAGGGCAAACTGGAGACGGAGCAGGAGGCTTTCCTGTATTTGCACATACTAAAGCTACAGAACAAGTACCAGGAGGCCTGGGATTTCCTAACCGGTGAGCTGTGCGCCAAATTATATCCTGGCGCGCCCGTTAGCATGAAGTTCGAGCTGCTTAAGGAGCTGGGCAACTGGCTGGAACTGAACAAGCTACTGCAACAACTTCTCGAAGCCGAGTAAGTGCCTAAGACTTAATGCGTAACAATAATTAAAAAATGTTTCTCTTACGCAGTCGCGATCGCTGGGACTACTACAAGGAGTATCTGGAAAGCTGCTTTGAGTTGTTGAAGCAGCAGCCCGCAGAACAGGATCAGCCGATTTTTACGCTCAACACTTGCCTTGATTTTCTATTGCACATCATTGAGTCGTCGACGCGTAAGACTCGTGGTCCATATTTGGCTCGTCTGGAGCTGCATCAGCGCATGCGTGCGAAACAGCTGCCGGCACAGGAGCTTATCGGTGACTTTGACGAACTGATCATTGAGTATTTTAACCTGTTTGGCGATAAATCCTGCTGCACCCACGACATAGCACTGTTTCTACCCTCCATAAGCATGGAGCAACGTCAATCTCTGGCCAACAAACTACTACAAGAAAGCGGTATTAGCTCTAACAGCTTGCCGCAAAATGTTAGTAATGTTGTAAATGATTTATACATTTATTTAATTAGCTTTCTGTTTGTAGAAGGAGCACATGCAGAAGCATATTTGTGCTTTGCAAATTTCTCGCATGTGTGGCGCTCATATTGAGCTGGCCATAGAACATCTGCTAGCCCTTTATACGGCGCTCAAGTTACACTATGAGCATGGGCATAGTTCGTTTGGCAAACAGCTGCTGTCTACGGAAATGGGACCCTCGGATCCGTATGCACTGCTGGCGGCTAATGTTATGTACGATATTTCCATGCGGGAACACAAATCGGATCAGCTATTCGAGGCGTTATGCCTGCTGCAATATGTGTTGCGCAATAGCACCAGCAATTTCCATATTAAGCTGCTCAGTTTGAAAATCTATCACATGTTCGGATGTATGGTCGGTGCACAGGAGATGTACGACTATTTGGACATTAAACAAATCCAGTTAGACTCTATGGGATATGTGCACTGCAACCTTTTGCCGCTGTCCGGCCGTTTTTCCGGCGTGCGTAATTGCTACGATACCACATTGAAGTTCTTCACCAATAGCTATAAGGAGCGTCTGGAGTATATAGCGTTGACCTATCGCTTCTGCACATTCTCAAAAATGGAGGAGTTTATGAACTTCAAGGAGCGCCTCACAAACAGTCTGCTTTATGTTGCCTGCTCAGTGGAGGCTCAGCTGTGCGATCTAGTCAGCTGCTATGGCAACATTCAGCAAAATCTATCAGCCTATGTGGCCATGAGCATAGAGCCGGCCGAGGATCGCATTTCCTGGCATGAGTTAAGCGACAATCGTGATTTGCAGGCAATAATACGCTGGGATCCACTGCATCTGGATAACACGGAAGCTGAGCGTAAGGAGTCATATGAACAAGAGATCGAGGTGTTACAATTGCGCTCACTGCTTTTACGCTTGTTTGCCTCCTTTATTGACTTGTATCATCCACCGCCCAGCGAAAAGCTGGCCATGTCGAACAACAAAACGACGACGCTAGCGCCGGGCGAGGATGTAGCGACTCTGGAGCTTTTACGCACATCGTGGACGGGCCTGTATCAGCGTCTGCGTCTAATGAATTATAAGCCGCTATCGCAACGTTTTCTAGTCAATTTGCAGCCCACGCGTCTTCATCTGCTGCTAGAGATACCATACGAGCGTTTTTTCGATGACTTGGCCCAGCTGGTGCTGGATCTTTACAGTGGTGCTTCGCAGCTGGCGCTGCAATGCAAGCAGGTCAGCGAGAATGTTGCTGCCGTCATGGAGCTGTGCGTGCAGACTATCACGGAGAGCAATGAATGGAATGGCATGGATGGTCTGTGGAAGCGGCGCGAACATCAACAAAAGGTGGCCGCCTGTTTAGAGGTAAGTTAAAGTTGTGGGTATTATACTGTCAGGGTATTGATGTAAACTATTCATTAATATATAATTGCAGATACTCTCACTTTATGCCTTCCTGCTATCGGTGCTGAATGACAAGCTGCAATGCAGCGCAAAGACAAAAACAAAAAAGAAAGGATCGGCTGATAACAAATCACAGGAGCCGATTAGCGAAAAGGAGCGCAGCCAAATGCTGCAGGAACTGATACGTCAGTTGAAACATAAACTAGAGGCCTGTGATGCAGCTATACGTAAGTAGTTAATCATATAATTAAAACAGCAAATTGAACTAATAATATTGAATCCATAGGTATCTGGAAACCGCCTACACTGCCGCGGGACCTGAGCTCGTTCATGGCCGACATGTCACTGAAACCGGAGGTGGAGGCTACGTTAATAGGCGACGTATCAGCCACGTTCAAGGAGTCCCATGAGCTAATGGTCACCGAGTTGCGCAATTTGTTAAAAGACAAATTACGCATGATTGGCAAATAGGGTTTTCCCTCATTGACTTTGCTGTGCAAAGTCTTGTTTAATTTTCCCCCACTTGCGATATCTATATTTCCAGTCATCCAGCCCTGTCCAGCCCAATTTGTTATTTAATATTTTAAACAAGGCTATTTATTTGCCCCGCTCGCTACCCTATAATACACTATTTCATCTAATTACAATCACCAATCAAATTACATTCTTGTGCACATTTTTTCGGCATTTTTTATACAACAGTTGGTAAACTTGAAACCTGCTTGATCAAATAAAAAAAGAAAAAGAACGATACATAAGTTGAAATAAAATGAGATCAAATCCTATTATCTTAAATTTAATGTATTTAACTAAAACATGTTTGTTATTAAATTCAAAGCGGGGACCCCAATCGATATATCCATATTATATAGCTCCCATCAGAACTGAAGGCCACAGACAAAAAATCGTTGCAAACAAAGATACACGTTCTTTGCCGTTTCTTATTAGATTAGACACCTGTGATACTTTCAAGAATTGTCTGCAGCTACATTGCCGTTAGCGTTGATGGCCTTGAGCGTTTGTAAATAGGCAGCGGTGCGGGGATCGTTGCTATGCTGTTGCGTTTGGAGGTGAGCCACCAAATTGTGATGGCGTGCAAAGCTTTTGTTGCACAGTCTGCATATGTGTGGCTTCTCGCCGGTGTGCGTTTTGTAGTGCACCTTGAGCACATTGGCATACGTAAAAGACTTGCCACAGGTGCCGCACGCATAGGGACGTTCATTGCGATGGGTGCTACAAGTGCAAAATACAGTTTTAAATTAAAATGTTAA